CTAGTCCATAGCTGGGTTACCCCCAAGTAGCACCCATTTGTACACCTGGGTGGAGAGAGGCACTGCGAGAGTAATAGAAGTGTTTTGCCATCAACACAATGTCCCTAGCCAGGGCTCAAGCCCAGACTGCTCAATCTGGAGTCTAACCTAGAGGGCACTGTGCATGCCTGGATTGTACAATGGAAATACAGAAAGCAAAACTTAGGCTGCCTAGAATGCTATTGCACTGCAAAAGAAGATCCAATTCAGATTTGCCCAGCAGATGGAAAGGAAGTTTTAATTCTGCAAAATGAAATACTCCTCATGTCTACTACTTTTGGGTCGCAAGCTATTGCTTTGAATTTGATTACCTTTTAATCACAGTTGGTAGAAAACTGCTCTTAAATATTTAGTCACATGCGAGTTTTAAACTTATTCATGTAATACCAACCTTGTGGACTGGGCATGATCGGCGTTCCAGGGGGTCCTGACACCTAAATTGACAAAAGTGTAATTTGTTTATGTTAACTGACAAAGTAACTAGAGTAGAACAAGGGACCAATGATTATCAAAATGACAAACATTAATGCTAATGTCATTTCAGGTTAATCCATTGTCATCCCCAAGACCACTCCTGTTGGTCAGGACCAAGAGATCAAATTTTCTTGGCATGTGCAGAGTATTTGTTACTCAATTTCTGCCAATCAGATTTATTAAATTTGTCAGATTTAACTGGGGGTCAGTAAATTGAGGACCTGAAGAGAGGTCGTGATTCTTGGTACTGCCCAGGAGTTTGGCCTCTGGGGACAAATATGCCTCAGATCAAAGTACAATGTGGTCTCTTTAATACATATACCAAGGGGGGGAAAGCCGAGTGTCTGTATTACGAAGAGGTTTCCATACTATAGACTGAGATACTTGATAGTGATTACATGAATTCTGGTTTTGCTGGGACATTTGTAAACTGTCCATAATACAGGTACCAGTATTATGAAGGTGTCTGTAAGGAGAGGTTCAAAAGTATGAGTATGGTAAAGACTATTGTAATAAGGCTTGCTATTTTCACACTAATCCCATTGCCAGAGCCCTAGCTTCTTACCGAAGTTGTGGGATTCCAGGGTCTACTGCCAGGCCTGTGAGGGAAACAACAAACAGAAGACACAAAAGTAAAGAAGGAACATGGCAACTCATTTCAAACCATATTCAATCTGGATCAGAGGTGTGAAAAGTAGCCTGATGCTGATGAAAACCACCATCTACTTCCTGATCTAGGAGGGCCACTATTCCAGGAATTTGCCTAGTTCTTTAGAAAAATATGGATTAATCAGCAGCTTACTTCAAAACTTTGAGACAGCCCTGTTGGATTATTTCCTAATTTATGTCTGGTGTTTTTTAATCCTGCCCCAGGTTGGATTTCCCATGAACACATATACGTGAACGGAGGGTGTGTATCTGAGCAAAGAATACATGAGTGCCACTTTAAAAAAACAAAAGACTATACACTGTAGGTTGCAGGAATTACAGTACCACACAGTAAGCAGGGTTGTGAGAAAGCTTTTAGGTATACACTCAGGTAGATGGTTTTGTTGTTCAAGTTCATGTTGGTGGTGGATTTTGCCATCTCTCTCTAAAGAATCAGTGAAGTAGTAGCAGAGCAGCCAGCCACGATTAGGCAATAGGTGGTGATTATCACTGACAGCTGGTTTCTTTTGACAACACGAATATTGTCCTATTCCTTTTTGCTTCACTTGGCCGAATAGAAAACTGTCTTTTATACTTGTATGTTAAGGAGACAAATAATTTTACAACATTTAGTGGAGAAAGTGGCCAGCAATAAATTAATCGAGTTTATTAACAAGAATCTGAGACATGCTGAATACAGGTTACAAGCCAGAGAACATTAAAAAATGTCACATGCAATTTTACACTGCAACAATATTATAGCAAGGAAGAACAGCCTGGAATATTAAACTGGTCAGTGTCAAGTGGTGTCAGTGACATTCACAATGAGTGGCATACAAAGGTCTGATTACTCAATGGGAAAAAGTACAAAGCAACCTAATTAAACACCCAAAAGAAATACAGCAGTTTTTCTACATGTGTGCAAGAAAACAATGTTGACACTGGGGCTTACAAATGGATAAATCATTGATGATGATGATTTATCCATTTGTAAGCCCCAGTGTTAATAATTCTAAAGACTCACATTGGCATGTTGACTCCTGGTGCTACTGAACTGTTTGGAGGAGGTCGCATTCCGCCATAGTTCTACACAATGGAAAGTACATAAATGTCACTAATAACTTCCAATATTACGAGGCCATTGTTGAACAATATTTATTATTAAACAGAAAAACTGTGAGGTGAATAACATAACTTAACCTGGACAATCACAAAAGATGAATAACTTAAACCCTGAAAACTGGCATTTCTAACTTAAATCAAACTTTACTGGCTAAAGCAAAATATCTTCTAGCCCAAACTAGCATCTCAGTCCTAATAAACTCTTAATCAATTATCATGTGTTCAACGTACATGAACAGCAATTTCAGAAAGGTAACCAGCTTGTATGCACACTTCAGCCTGGATAGACCTTTCTGTTGTTAACCCCATAATTTACATTTAATGAATAAAAACAAGTGAAGTTGGAAGAATCAATGACTATATCCATCTCCGACTAAACAAGGTAAAGCTTAAGTCTGCATACAAGCCAAGTGCCCATCAAGCTGGAACTTATCCCAGTTTCTATGGCATGAAGTGACTACGAGTATTTCTACTGCCCCCTGGATGAGATGCTAGTCCATCCCTGCAGGGTTACCTCCAGCACTAAATTTGCCGCTACCCATTTATACACCTGGGTGGAGAGAGAATATGGGAGTAAAGTGTCTTGCCCAAGGATATGACACTATGTCCCTGGCTCGGGCTCGAACCCGATCCACTCGATCCAGAGATGAGCGCACTATCCATGAGGCCACACACCTCCACAAACAAGGGCACATGTATTCTATTAATTTCTTAACTGACAGGATGATTTGTGCACATTGTTCTCTTCCACTTACCGGTGGGACTGGAACTCTTGGATGGTTCATTCTGCTCATCTGCATGGGTTGACCTGTTCAAGAGAAAAAGTTCAGTTTAGCTGAGGTAATTAATATATAGTCTAACAATATAATTATATACCATTGGGGAAGCTAAATACAGGAGCTTCATTAACCTTTTCAACAGGAGGGCAACTAGTTTTCACAGGCAGGCAAAACCTTTTCAGGAACTGAACTTTTTCTTTAAGAAAACCTTTCCACCAGATGGTCAAACCAGGTGAGCAAAATCATCCTCACAGCTGGTCAATTTGCCAGGTACCTCACCCTTAATGAAACCCCTGTAAACACTTGGTTATTTACTAGGCAATTTTCCTGGGTAACCAACTTTTAGTTAAGGACTGGTTACCAAGAACAAACTCAATGTGAGGAAAGGTAGCAGGCTTGTGCTTAGGACCTCCAGACTAAATTAGCAAATTAGCCATGTTTTCTTTTTTTATGATGTTTGGTACAAGTAGACCAATAACAGTTTGATTGAAAACAATTCAGAATACTGATGAACGTTCACCTTGATATCCTCCTGGCTGCCTTGTTGGGTCCATGGTGCTTGGCAACAAGGGCTGTGCTCCCGGTACACCTGCCACACCTCCAGGAGGCTAAATGATTTCAGAAAAACATACAGTAAGTTTTTTTACTTAGACTTCTTGAAATTTTCTAGTAAGCAGGGTTGTGAATAGACACAACTGCTAGTGGAAATCGCTAGGTATTCTGCTGGGTTAACTTGTGATTACAATTCATCAGAAAAGAATGCCAAATTCCTACTCCAACAAGTGAAGCATGATCCTGCAGTATTCAAAAACTCTGCAACAACTCTGTGGAAGTATTGCTATATGCAGGCATATTAGAGTCTGCGTTTTTGCGCTCACAGAGAATACTTCCACTCATGTGTTACCTGGCCTGGTATCCTCACATTGGGCGGCCTGTTGGCTGCTGGGTTATATCTTGACATGCCATAGGGTGCCTGTAGAAGAAAGAAAAACACAATCAGAAGTACAACCTCTACTGTACCAGTACAATATTAAGACATGGGCCAAGTTGGGACATTAGTTGAAAAATGTAAATTGTCTCCACAAACATTATGTGGTGCTTTTGGTGGCATTTTTGTCATTTCAACAGTTTTAGACTTCAGTTTGTATTAAACCAAAGGTATTACGATATACTTAGGAGTTAAAAATTGTCCTTTATATCTGAAACTAATTGTTGTCATTTTCCTAGTGTTCAAACAATTAGGTAATACTTACAGAGGTATGGTACATTGTCATACCTGATTAGTCATGTATCCTTGAGGGGGCTGAAGTGGAAAAATAAATAAAATCATAAAAAGAATAATACATTGTTTTATGAAGTGTGTGTTATAAAGTGATGGAAAAGAAAACTTGCTTTGGATGAACTTACACTGTACAGGTTCTGAGTAGCTAATTTTGTATTAACAATTAGCTCAAGACTTCTATCGTGTGATAGTTGACGAGGGCGCAGCCTGATGTAACTATCACAGATAGAAATCAAGAGCGAATAATCTAATTGCTTTAGTATAAATCTACTAGTCATTCAAAACTTTATCTAAATCCTCTTCACAGACACTTTGAGAAAGAAGCCGCCGCATTTTGTTAACAAGGGCACACTGCTATGCTACTCACTATCTATCACAGAATAGATAGTGATTGAGTAGCATAGCCAATCAGAGGACAGCATTCCTGACAGAATGCGAGTAGATTTATACTAAATCTTGATATGCATGCACTAATTAAAGATTACCAAACTATCCATTAAATAATAAGAATTCAATGTCAATAATTAAGTGACAATACTTTGTCAACAACAGTGTATGATTTTGTTTCGCCTTTATACATGTATATTAATTTTCCCCATTAATTTCAAGTCTATCACAAATATACAATTCATGGGAGCAAACTCAAAAAGTTGGGGGTGAACTCAAACACGGTGGAGGCAAACTCGAAATAGAAAGTTTATGAGGATTTTAGATGGGTGCGAAGTTGGTGGATGCGAAACAGGTAGAATTCATTCAAATGACAGGTACAGAGCACTACCTTTATGGTAAAGTAGTGTTTTTTTTTTAAAAACTTAAATTGCGAGATTATTTCCTCATAATTATGCCAAAGCCACTTTATCTACCTGATTTGGCATGTAACCCTGAGGCGTTTGATGTGAAGGTGGTTGATGGGGCGACGCTTGCGGTTGTGACGACTACATAGGAAAGAACAGTGAAAATGTGTATTAAGTACATAATGCTTACATAGTGTACAAGTGACTGCCTTAGAAGAAGAAGAGCACTTTCAAGAAAACCAGATCATACACTGTAGCCTGGGAAATACAAAGGACTTGTTTAGTATAGATGGTGAAAATGAAATGCTGGTAAAAAAAAAAAGACTTGTGTTAAAACTATAACTGTGAAGGAAAGAATTAAGAAAACCATGGCAAATCTTGCATTCTTAACATTTTAATATAATTTTCCTCAGTGACCTGGCTAGTGTATTCACAAATTTCGTGTGCTATCAACAAAGGTAGGACATNGGGGTTGTGATCATTCTGATTATCCTGCAAATAGCACAGTAGAATATCAGTAATGTAAAATGTAAGTAAGGGGTGAAAGGTTGGAGGGAGGTTAAAATAAAGAAATAAATTATATACAACATTTAGAGAGGAAGACACATCAGCCCTAGCTGGTTTTCACGTTGGTCCTCTATCCTGGTCAGGGCTGTGCTCTAAAAGTGCCTGGGTGCCAAAGGCGACTAACTTTTGACTTTGGGCGACTAGAAAACCTTGCGTTTTTTTGCATATAAGCTTACATGCTGGGCACCCAGGATTTCATGGTTAGGAACTATTGGACTCCTTGTAATTCTTCTTCCCCCACAGCCTTGCTGGTCGAATTAGAATTTGGAGAACAGATGCTTGTTTTTGCGTAAAACCAAAGAACGCAGAGAAAAACTCTTCGAGCAAGGCGAGAACCAACAACAAACTCGGCCCACATACGACACCGGGTTGGAATTGAACCTGGGTGGCATTGTTAGGAGACATGATCAGGCGTATATATATAAGAAAAAACTGATCAAGTACTGCCACGATGTGGAACACAGGATCACTTGCTTGGCATCGAACCTGTGAACACTGTATATTGCCAAACCTGACTTCATGGTAACTTCATGAATGTGACTAAACCTTTTTGACCTACATGTGTACAGTAGAGTGTGGCATGTTAACACTATCTTTTGTTGCAATAAATTTACATGGCTGCTGGCCAAGTGGGTGAAAATATAGGGTAGCTAAGTCTTTAAGGGACTGGAGTTTGGTATGCTACCAGTATCCCCTGGCACAAAGTTATAGCCAAAGTATTTACTAAGAAGACAATAACATTATGTACACAAACAACATCACTAAGAATTTTACCTTGGGCAGACCATCCATATCAGGGTTTGAATCTGATGAAAGGTTTACAAAGCAAAATTAATATGACTAACTTGATTGAAACTACAGTAAGTGCCATTTTTTTGTACAACAAACAGTAAAAGCATTCAATCATTCATGTATAAAACAATGTACATGCCAATGACAACATCAACTAAAACACTCAAGCAAGTTAACACATGACAGGCTTTTATCCAGGATTTGAAAAGTGGGTGTCCAAAAACTCAAGCCCTTAGGCCAGTACTATACCAGGAAAATATATCAAAGGGATAAGTGGGATGTTCCACGGTATACCACAACAGAGCGTTGTATGACTATTTTATAGGTCATACGCCATAGAAATCAATGTGACACGTGCAGTGCATGATGGGAAAGTTAGATGTAATACCATTGAATATACAATGGCATCCCATATTCTGATTGGCTGCATTTTCTATGGCATGGTATAAATAAGTTGTACTCTTGAAAGTTTATATTTCAATAAAGCTCACCGTTCATAACAAGTGGAGCCTCCTGGGCCCCTAAGGGTAACGCGGAGTCTGGGCCACCTCCCATGTACTGAAAAGAAACAGGCACTAATGATTACTACTGGTTTTTATATGTCAGGTGCAGGATATTAAAGCTTCAGTGAACTTACTGCAGACATGTTTCCTCCAGGGACAGATTTCATCATTGCATACATGGAGTCACCTCCAGCATTTGACGGGTCTGAAAAAATGTCAGCACTTATTATAAAAGGAACATGACTATTGAATGAGAATTACACTAGGGCCGTGAAGCGGCCTGAAGTTATAATTCAAATTATATGAACAGATGAAGTGAGAAATATATGAGCTTCCCACCCTTCTTCCCTCCCTTCTATGGGGTCTCTCTTTTGTCTGTCTATTCCATGGCATCAAAAAGCCACCGAAGCATCATGGGACCACGAGATCTACGTCCCAGGGCCTTGTGGGTATACCCAAGCCCCTTTTATTGTTTCTTTAGGGGGGTTTGCCCTTCTGTTGGTGCTAAAAAGTGGTTTGAAGCACTAACCGAGAAATTTGTACCATTTGTTGTCTCATATATTTCGAACGGAGTCTGTGAAATATAATCTTGTGCTTTTCTTGCAACATTATGTGAAAAAAATATGGTAATTAACATCACCTAAGGCTACCAATGTATACAGTGTAAATGTTTGGACTGGTTACATCAGTTGTGTCTTTGGGAAAAGATTTCAGTCGCACAGTGCAAATGGTGGGTGGTAATGGTAGCCCATCAGGCTGGAGCTTATCCCGGTTTCTGCAGCATAAATCCACTAAGAATTTATTTCTAGTCCCCCTTGAATGGGATACTAGTCCATAGCTGGGTTACCCCCAAGTAGCACCCATTTGTACACCTGGGTGGAGAGAGGCACTGCGAGAGTAATAGAAGTGTTTTGCCATCAACACAATGTCCCTAGCCAGGGCTCAAGCCCAGACTGCTCAATCTGGAGTCTAACCTAGAGGGCACTGTGCATGCCTGGATTGTACAATGGAAATACAGAAAGCAAAACTTAGGCTGCCTAGAATGCTATTGCACTGCAAAAGAAGATCCAATTCAGATTTGCCCAGCAGATGGAAAGGAAGTTTTAATTCTGCAAAATGAAATACTCCTCATGTCTACTACTTTTGGGTCGCAAGCTATTGCTTTGAATTTGATTACCT